AACAATCATTTGTTCCTTAGCAAATCATAACATTTGTTAAATACAACCTCATATGAACAACAACACATGACATATTACACCGTTGAGTGTAATATGAGTTAACAAAATAAAGCCAAAATGGAGAAGCCACGTGTGAAAAACTAAGTACACCCTTAGAGATTCCATAGGAATTAAGAGGCCAAAAGACCAGACAGGTGCTGCTAATCAAATGCCCTTTAAACCACCTCTATAAAAGCCGAAGTTTTAGCACGTTGCTGGTCTCGAACATTTCATACTGTGCAGGCCTCAGTTAGCATGTTAAATGTTAACGTTCATGACAGTACAATTAGAAAAGACTGAAGAAGTATGGTTTGGTTGGAAGAGTTGCCAGGAGAAAGCCTCATTTGGTCAATATTTGGACTTTGAGTGTTCATCGATTTTTGAGCATTCTGTTGCATATTTTAAGTGTTTGGTCTGGCTGATTCCTGGTTTTATTTGTTTATTATTTAGTTATATGATTGATTTATTTGATTTAGTGGCTGCCTCCTAATCATAAATAAAAAAATAAATGTTGGTACCACGGTGGAACTCCGTATTACAACTCAAAAAATGTGTCCATTGTTTGTCATTTGTTTCATGATGCGTCCATATGGAACTTTGAAATTACAGAATTGGGACAACCTGTCGATCAACCAAAATTCGGAAGACTGCAGTTAGTTTGAAACCAAGTCTTGTACCCACTCATGTCATATGTTGTGTTTTATCCTGCAAGACCTTACACGTAAAGGGATTCTATAGTGTTAGGAATACAAAGTTAATAAAACTACACCCCCGACCAGAGGTGTATCTTGGTTTTGTGCTGCCCTAGGCAGGACAAAACCTAGGCGCCCCCCTCCCCCCGCGCCACCTCCACCCAACCCTTCCCCCCGCCCCACCTTCTAAATACACACACACACACACACACACACAGTCAGACACAAACACACACACACAGTCAGACACATACACACAGACACAGAAACACAGTCAGACACACACTTTTTGGTCAGACACACACACACACAGTCAATTACACACACACAGTCAGACACACACACACACCACAGTCCAGACGCACACACACACGATCAGACACACACACACACACACACACTCCACAAACACAGTCAGACACAAACACACACACACACACAGCACACAGTCAGACACACACACACATTCCCTGACAGACATACACACACACACACACACTCCTAGACACACACACACACACACACACACACACACACACACACACACACACACACACACACACACACACACAGTCAGACACAAACACACACAGTCACACACACACATACACAGTCAGACACAAACACACACACACACAGTCAGACACATACATACACACATACAGTCAGACACATACACACGCAGTCAGACACATACACACACACAGGTCGAGGAACATAGTCAGACACAAACACAGTCAGACACAGAAACACACAGTCCACACACACACACAGCCACGCAGTCAGACACACAAACCGCACACGATTCAGACACACACGCACACATTAGCAGAATTTAAGTCCCACCCCCCCCAACCTCCTTACCTTCCCAGGGGTGCTGGAGTCTCTGGTAGTCCCGGTGTTGAGTCCCGAGTGGCTGCAGGGAGGCGGTGTTGGCTACGGCGGGGCTGGCGGGGAGCGCTTCCTATGAGCTGACTGCTCAGCTCCTCACTTTGGCGCCCGGCTGCAGAGTGAGGCTGGGCCGGGGGCTCATAGGGTAACTCCCTGCCAGCACTTTCCGGCGCCGGCTGCCCCCACCTTCAGGCTGTCGATTAGCGGCGAGGCTAGCGGAGCATTTGGGGGGCGGCGTTTTTTGCCGCCCCCTGAAAAATGCCGCCCAAGGCAAATGCCTTGTTTGCCTCGCGGCTAATACGCCCCTGCCCCCGACCCTTAAAAACCATTTAATTCAATAACCCAATTCTCCTCCTTCTCCGTCATCCGACGAGAGAGCTAATGCACACATGCAGCAAGAGCCTTTGCGGCAAGAGCATTGAATTTATGCTTTTCTTTGGGGATTTCATGGACGCCGGATGTCCTCATGCAGAGTATAAGGACATCAAACATCATTAAGGCAACCTAGAGAATCCGGTAGAATTCCAGAAGAACCTCTAGTGGCTGTCCACTAGAGGCAGTCTTAACACTGTAATGTAAACAGGACTAAGGGGGGCAGGGACACTGCACCAAGACCACTTCCGTGAGCTGAAGTCGTTTGGGTGCCTATAGTGTCCCTTTAAGAAAATGTTATATTTTTTATTGTGGGGTAACAAGAAGCACCTGCCCGAACTGAATATTTTTTTTTCTTCATGGCTTTAAATTTAATATTAATTTGCCTTTCTTAAACACCATACTTTTTGATTATGCACAAATCGTCCCAACTGAGTTACCAATTGAAACAAAGGGGGGGGGGGGAAGAAACTTTTGTGCTTTTAAACATCAATTTCAGTCATTTTTCTGTCATGTACCCACACAAATGATGTCACTTTTTATGGAGATTTGATGCTTCAAAATGATAGAATCTCAAAAAGTAAAATGACAAAAAGATAGAATGAATTTAAAAAAAAGTTACAATAATATGTCATTTGATTATTCTTTCATTCTCCATATCCCGTAATTAACAAACCACATTACACATGATTTAAAATGTTCCACTGGGAATTATATTCAGTGGTAGTTAGGAAGTTTTGTCTATTTCTTTGCATATTGGAACTGTTATGTTTATACATAAATGTATTTTAATTTTACCAAATTGGCAATCTGTCATGATGTATTTGCCTTCTTTGTTGTATAATTTCACACAGAACTATTTTAGAATTTAAATAATGACGTTAGATACCCCAAATGCCGAAAAAGTTCACTAAACAATTTTATTAATTAACAAAATAAAATTCTGCAATTTTTAGTAAATGCGTGGTAAATGGCAATTTTTTTTGTTTCACTAAACATTACTGTGAAGAAATGCCCCTCTTATACTGCAAATTGACTCCTTGTATTTGTTGGTTTAATAGCAATGTTTCCCTATGGCATTCGGTAGGTAAAACTACCGAATGCAGACCACCCTGTTACCCATTATACAGACTGTACCCCCTTGCTGGCTGGATTACGTTCGACAGAAGTTCTGCACGAACGGCAGGTCTCGCCGCCATTTCGGGACTTCCACGTGTTCGCGGCCATTTTAGCTCCCGAACAGCGGTGTTTGCCATTGAATGTCTGGAACTGAAAACGGACACTCAAACAGGCGAACACCGCTGAAGCCTCCAGACCTTCGGTAAACCCCCTTCCAAACGACCGGGCATTCGGTAGAAAGACTTACCAACGGATGGGGAATCAAGCGAACCAAGGATGGTAGCTGGATGGCCGGCCGTTCGGGAGGTATTTCATGCGATCTAAGACCGTCTGCAGGGCCAGAATTCATGGAACTGTTTTCGGCTACTTTGCCCGTGCAGTCGGTCAAAACTTCTAAGTCCCATATCTCCCGAACGGCTGAACCGAATGGACTGAGTTTTTAATATGTTGGTCTCCCAGACAATAGCTAACTGGGGACACCTTGGGGTACATCCAAACTTTGGGGAATTTCTGTTACGTTTTAATTGTGTTTAATGGTTATCTGAGGGGAGGAGATGTACAGTATATATATTGAGAGGAAGTAATTTAAAGTAGTTTATTGGCTGCAGAGGTCAAAGGTGGGTTTATAGGAATATTGAAGTCCCCGAGAATTAGAATGGATTTATGGCTAATTATATGGGAGGCTCCCCTGCATGGGCTGAATTCCATAAAAAGAGCATGCCTGTCATTAAACCTTCAGTTCATCTTTGTACCCTTATTCTGACTACGTATGCTGTTTGGGAGTTCGTGTGCTTTACTGTGGGAATTATCCAGGAACACTATTGGATTTACAATTGGGAATTCGTCTACCATAACTACCGGACGGAGGGCTATATTCACTGGGTGTTCTGGAGGAAACTACCGATTAAGGTTTAAATGTACTTGGTTTCCTTACAATTACCGACAAAGGTTTTTGGTTTAGACCTCTGTTTACTTTCAATCAAGATTGTACACCAGTGTTTTCATTACTGATGTATATTGGAAAACAGCAAAATATAAATGTAGATTTTTTTTTCATTTAAATAGTAGCTGAGAATTTACAAGATCCTATTTTCCAATTCAGATGAGGAATTATGTGTGGTCAGTGAGGTTATTGCAACTGCTTTATCCCCCAAGTCACCGTGAACCTGTGAGAAGCTTCAAAAAAAGTCTAGCTTGGGTTCTAAGGGGATGGGCATGCAAAGGCTGCAGACAAGAGATCTGCAGCTTTTGCAAACTGTTTTAGAGAGGTATATCTACTAAATAAAGATTTCATTTTTTTTTTTTTTTTGAGCAGTGGAGTATCTCTTTAAAGGGATTACTATATGTATGCAGGGTCCATGAGCTCGGATGTAGCAGGCGGGTTCAGATCATGACCCAAAACCCCTCTTGCGTAGCACCCAGGAAGATTCTATCATCACATTGCCTGCCTTGCTGCATCTGAAACTTGTAAGCAAGGCCAGATCCCTCATTGCAGCATTACAGAAGATGGGACCTCACATCTCTCCCAAGCTTCCAATGCTAACACAACTTATTTGACTTATGAAGTGAATAGAAGGTGTGATCTAGGGACAAGCAATCCCCAGAGCACTAGAGTGATATCTCAGAGTCTAAATTAGCTAAATATAAAAACATACTTTTTTAGAATAAAAACCACACAGAAAAAATAATAATAAATATAATAAACAAAATGCTAATCACTCCCAAATAAAATGAAGCGAACCTCCAAGAGGGGAGCTAATAAGCTCCAATAACCTTATAAAGATGAGGTGAAACCTAAACATCACCATGCCTAAGGGTTTAAAGTTATGTTAGCGTTTAATATTCGGTCTTATGAAATGTATATTTGGTATTAGCTTCTATTAGGTCCTTTATTTTGCAAGAGTTCTGGAGATATTAGAGTGATTATCCTTGCTCCTTTTTTTTTTTTTTTTTAAAGCTGAAATGCTGCCGGTTTTCTTCCTTGTCCCGAGCCTGCATAACTGCTACCAAGTCTTCCTTCTGACGTTGCCATCACACATCGCATACCACCAATGAGATGGAAGAAATGAAGAGGAGTCTTCCCGGAAATCAGGGTAACATGGATCTCTCCTATAATTGAGCATTTGGGAAAGTGCCATGTCTACTGTAATGACAAACTAGAGCACAGTTTAAGCCATCTGCCCTACTTGGAGGCTTTCAGAGTTATCTCCAGCTGAGAGGTCCCAGTGGTAATCATGAGGTCGATCAACTGGAAACTAGGCTGAGGGCCATAAATGTGTCCTGAATAGCCACATCCCCGGCCTGGAAGCCATCATTTCCTTTTGCAGCTTCTTTGTCGATACAATATGTCCTTGTTTTGTGTGTAAAGTAGAGGATTTGATTTATTAAACCAGGAATGGAGAATTTGTAGAATTGAGAGAGGATTTAAGGGAACTGAAAATTATAGGTTAACTTAAACGAATGCTCAATGTTCTATAATTCCAGATTTCGTGAAAGGGAGAAAAAAAAAAAAGTAGAAATTACTCGCCAAAAATGGTATGTTGGTTGAATCTGAAATGCATACCTTACCATGTCACTATTGACTTTGATGCACATATTCGGAATATAAGTACAATTAATATGCTGACATCTTATATAAGATTTTTTAATAAGTCTAAGAAGGTGACCCACTGTTAAGACATTTGACTACAATCCTGTCACAATAAGACATATTAATGAGCAAATAAACATGTAATATTATGTAGTACAGAGTCCTAAACACTGATTAGAAACCCTGGGGAGAGACTGAGTATCTCATTTAAATATTGTATTGTTGTTAACATGACAAACAGGTTTAAAAGGTTACTTCAATGTATCAAATAGCCCACATTTTGCCTTTGTCTACTACATATGGAGAATAGCATGTAGACCAGACCTACTGGCTACAGACATATAATATGCCTAATAAAATATATAGGTAATTAACCATTGAATTCAATGGAATGATGTTCAATCTTCACTTGCAAGATCTTTCATTTCATAAACAGAATGGGGAGGCAGGGGGCAACAAGCACAGAGTTATTATAATTAGATATTATATTCACTAAAGTGCAAATTGTCAGTAATTCCAAGAGAATTCATAGTGAATTTAAAAATTAGGACAAAAACCGCTGAACTGGGGGGCGAAGCCAACTGCAGATTGAAGCAGACGCACAAGCCACGAGCTCCCGAGAGAGCCCTAAGGAAAAGCACCGTATTTGCAATACAACCAGCCGATACTTACCCCAACACAACCCAAGCAACGTGGGAAAGAAAGGCAAGCCCTGCAGAAACGAAACGGTCTCCTCTTACAAAGATATAGGCACTTTGCTTCCGGTCACGCCACAGCCTTCCAAAATGGTGCCCGCGCTGGACGACTCAGATACCGCGTCAGAAGAGAGCAACCAGGATGACTCTCTGTTCCCCAACAGACATGGTATGAGGGTAAGCCCCAGGTGAAACATCAGCCGGTATCCAAACAGGCAAACCCCAGTGTCTCCCTGGAACACCAGCCTGCAACAAAGCAGACATCCCAAACCTGCTACCATGAAAGCCCTTTTTGCTGCTGACATTGCATTAGTCAGGGAGGATTTAGGGGGCATAACAGCTAGACTGCAGACGCTGGAGGACTCTGGTGCAATACAGGCAGTATGAAGAGCAGTCCGAGATGGACAGGCTCAAGCAAGCAAACCTCTTCATAGAAGGTAGGATTACAGCGCTTGAAGACTCCAAGCAACAGTGCAAACTCCGGATTCAGAGTGTCCCTGAGAACATTGCAGACACCAAAGTCCCTCATTACATCCGACGCCTACTGAGCTATGTACTCTCGCCATCTACGGCCAAAGCAATCATGCTGGAGAACTACTTTTGGATCCCCAAACCAGTTAGAGCCCTGGAAGGTGACCCAAGGGACTTGTTGCTATGCTTCCAATCACTACGGAGCAAGCAGCTTGTACAGGTGGCTGTCCGTGACTCACCAACCCACTACTTTGAATATGCAGACCTCTCCTTATATAATGACCTGACTAGGTCCACAAGGATATAGCGACAAACTCTCCACCCGGTCACTCAGCACGTGAGGGAACGTGGGGTGGCATACCATTGGGGACCCGGCCGCAAACTATCAGTGCTCCATGACGGAAGGAGAATCCAACTACTGCAACAGTCGGACGCAGGGAAGTTCTTCAAAGCACTGGGACTGCCTCTGCCAGAGACTATACTCCACACCACTACAGGCAATAGCACCCAAGCCCAGATGTGGGATGTGAGCAATATAAGACCCTTCTACCCAAAAACCCAGACCAGCAGCAGTGGAGACAAACCCAGCTGGCACCTGAGAAACGTTTCAAAAGATGGCACAAGGACATGCCATACAATGCCAGTAGCCATTGCTCTACCTATCACCATACTGGAGATGACCTATTCTGGGCATAACCTTTATCTTGCTGATAATGTTTTTGTTGCGTTCCTTAAGTTAACCTTTTGTTATCTGAGTTTTCACGAACGTTCTTTTGTAAATGCTCTCGAGAGAGACTCTTACCACCCCCACTAGACTGTACCAGCATGTATACTAATCATAAAGTGCATTGCCCATAATCTGTAGCCAAGTATCACTGTTTATAACCTGCTGTCGAATGCACACGAAAAGTAGCATTCTATGTTTTTACCAATCTGTAGGATTACTTATATGCTACAATAAAATATAGAAAACCTGAATTGAAAACATAGCTGACTTGAATATTTTTTTTCCAAGATGGCTATTAACGCCAATGTTTTGAAATTTACTAAAAATTACTGACATTTCATATCTTCTTGATTATTTTCTTTTCTATATTATTTTGTAAACCTGGAAAGGTGGATAATGAATTATTTTGGATATTTGTAATTCTCTCGTCAATTCTCCGCAGTACTATCTTTTTGTGATTGGTGCTTCTAGTGGCTCGCTGTACAAGTGAACAGAGAATAGCATTCCTACCATGAAATCCTTCCAACTAACTAACCGCTTTGTTTACTAACTAGCTGTTTATTATGTAATAACTGGTATACACAGACGACAAATGTAGGCATCTATACCCTGACCCTTTATACACTTTTCTCATCATTTTCAGAGCCCGCATATAAAGAAATTAACATTACTCCAACTGTAACACATCTGAGTTTTTATTTTTTTTTATTGTCCATCACATAAGGAAAAACAAAAGTTAAAATACCAAAACCATATAGATCAAGCACCAAAGGGATCCATTCGTGAGGAGGCCATTAGATAGACAGAAACCAAAAGGTATACATTAAAACAACAAATGCAATAAATGCAAATTGTGAAGGATTCTTTACACATATTTGTGAATTTACACAAAGCAGTGCCTCACAGCTCATCCGGCTGCAAGCAAATTCATATCAAGTGGTCAGAGATGCTCAATTTTAGAAGTAATTGAGAGACTGATCTTTAGCGCACCCTCTTTTTTTATTTTTTATTTAAATGAAAGCAAGAGTCTCCTTAAGGATACAATAAGCCTATGACGGATTAGCCTGGATGCATCTGCTCCAGGTAAGATACAAAAATGGCATCTAATGAAAAACTCACATTCCAGGGAGCTATATGTGACGTAAAAAGTGAACATTTCCATAAATACAGATATATAGAACAAGATACTCAAGTTGGAGATTATCAGCTATTTAAACATTAAAGGGTTTACTCCAACATCAGTTTCCTATGTAAAATGCCCTAATGGGCACTATTAACAAGCTCCCCCCTATATTTTGCTTAAAAACAGCAAACACTTCCCCTTGCAGCCTCTGTAAGGAAGAAGCTCAGTACGTCTGTTGACGTCAACTATGTACAAAATTGACTTTAGTCAGCCAGGAACAAAGTTCTGGGCTTTCTGAGTCACATGTGCCAGGGGAGTAACTAGCAACTCACAAAAAGTTAATAGCACTGTGTACACTGATGACAGACGAAAACTTTCCACAGAAATGCCGTGTGCTGGGGGTGCAACTTGCCCCCTGCACAAAATCTACGTTTCACGCAGAAACACTGCACATACAGACTCCTGCCACAATGACCATTTCTAAAAGAAAAAGTAGTCATGGTGGTGAAGAAACCCTTTAATTCACCACAGTTCTCTATTTACTAAATACAGCTCAGTATATCTGTATTTCTTTCGAAATAGCCAATTTGTTGATTTCTCTTCTTTCTACCTCACCGGACAGCATGGTCAAGTCTTATTTCTGTCTGTGCAGTCGGAAAGCCATTTTCTCCGTCTTGGTAACAGCTGTTACTCTATTTACCTTATGTGTTTTTGCTGTCATGCCAAGATCTGGGCCCTTAATGGTAAATTCTCCTTCTGCTACTGTACACATTTCATCCAACTATATGCTTTCAAGGATTCGTTAACCCCTCCGACTGTCAGATATATCAGCATTACTTAGAGTGTGAAATAGCACATTATAGATTTTAGTTGGTTTCTCTCTTGGGGTAGACGACTGATTACACTCTGTGCCCAAAGGTGTGAATTCCATTTATCCAAGGAGATATTTGCATCGTCTCATTGGACGGTATGTATAATAAGCAATGTTTGGTCAAAGTTCTAAATAAGGGCCAATCAACAGGAATATTCCATAGGTTTCCATGGAGATTCCTCCATTTATAGAACTTAGCAGACTGATATAATCAAGCACAAACCCCGAAATAGAACATTACAGTTACAGAACATTCCGTTCAAGCCATAGTTGGGGAACATATGGTTGTCCAGCATTGCCTACAACCGCAGAGTAAAGCCGCTCCATCCTGTTCTAGACTGAGATCACTTTTACAGACTGTTAATTGAGAGGCTATATAAGAGGTAAAAAAGTGACCATGATCAATAATCTAAATATGTATTAAACACTCATCAAGTTTCCATTCCCCTAATCCTCATCAATAAAACTGCCTACGGGCAATTCAAAAATCTTCAAACTCTAAATGGCTGTTGTGTAACTATGTCAAGGATCCTGTTCACAGCACTTTAAACTATGGATGTTTATGTGTTTCAGAAACTTAAAGGGACACTATAGTCACCAAAGCAAATTTAGCATAATGAAGCAGTGTTGGTGTATAAATCATGGTCCTGCAGTCTCACTGCTCAATTCTCTGCCATTTAGGAGTTAAATAACTTTGTTTATACAGCCCTAGTCACACCTCCCTGCATGTGACACTTCTTGTAAACAGTCATCTAATGTTTACAATTCCTTTATTGCAAATTCTGTTTAATTTTGAATTTCATATGTCTTGCTCTATTAATAACTTGCATGTAATTAATGTTCAATTTACAGAGCAGGAGATAAAAACTTAGATAAATCAGTTACATCTGACTGAAAATTATACTTTTTTTTTAATGCAGGCTGTGTCAGTCACAGCCAGGGAAGGTGTGGCTGAGCTGTATAAACAGAAACAAAAGTGATTTAACTCCTAAATGGCAGATAACTGAGCAGTGAAACTTCAGAGGCATGATCTATACACAAAAACAGCTTCTTTAAGATTAAATTGTTTTAGTGACTATAGTGTCCCTTTAAATAAGCAAATCATATTGTAAAGCGCTACGGAATCTGTTGGCGCTATATAAATGGCAATAATAATAATAATATAATGGGGATGCACTCCAGCGTAGTGTTTGTAATTTCCGTGCATTGTGTGTATAATTCACAGAGTCCTTATATTTAGTAATTATAAATCAGCAAAACCTTTTAAAAAAGACACAAAATGTAAATTTAATCCAAGCTCCAGCTTTTCAAAGGTCGGCTGTCACTTTCACTTTTCTGACGGTGTCTGTTGCACATCCCCACACTACAGTGAACACTACAGAATTGTCTGCTGGCATGCAGTGGGTAGTGGATATAAATATATAAACCTAACATCCACAACTCTTTAAGATGTTGACACCTCTGACTTCAAAAGATGAGACGAGTTGGCACCATATGTGCTTGGGCATCATTTAGGCCAGAGGTGCCCAAACTGTAGATTGTCAGATGTTGTAGAACTACAACTCCCATGATGCTTTGCATACCTTTAGAATGACAAAGCATCATGGAAGCTGTAGTTTTAAGACATCTGGGGATCTACCTTTTGGGCACCACTGATTTAGGCATTCCTTCCAAGGTGTCATATGCATGATAAATCCTTTAACCCCTTAAGGATACATGACATGTGTGACATGTCATGACTCCCTTTTATTCCAGAAGTTTGGTCCTTAAAGGGTTAAGGGTCCATGCTCATGGTATGATCGTTTTCACGGTGATTTGAACTGTATGCCAGATTGTGCCTTGGTAGTCTTAAATATAAGTGCAAAATAAACAAGGTGCACAGAGAATTTGGTCAGTTATTAGGTTGTGCAAATGTATTAGAGGTGCTGTTTATTTTGCTATAATAAATACATAAACCATCAAGATCTTTAATTTTAATCGGGTTACATTTATAATAATGTTTAAGAACAGGTAATAGTATATGCTGGAAGAATGGAAGCTGGATGCAGTGATACACTGCAGAGTTTACATTACTTGTGACTATCACTAGAAACTTCATCTCAGTGTGTAAACATCTCACTTTGGAGAATCACATGTTACTGCACCCAAATGAGTTGGAAAAGAAAATACAGGCCCATCATGTCCTAAAGACAATGTTTGCATCTAAGGAGTATGGTCCTATTTGCCCAACTTGCTGAGCAAAGGTCTGCGAGCTCAGTATGATCAATACTTTGCAGTAACAGGTATATACACAATCTTAGCCACCATTAAAGACGTGTGCGGATTGGAATTAAACAAAAGAACAGCATTCATTAGCTTAAAAAGAAAACTGCACAATGCAGATATACGTTTAATAGCTCCTTACATCAGAAGTCCTTTGGGAATGCGATTCAGCCAATACCGCTGTCCAGAGGAGAAGTCGGGTTGTTTTTTACAGCCTATTGGCTCTTTATAGTCTATAATCATTAGGCCATTTAATTAGCAAATGGTATTTTCA